TTAGAAAGAGTATTATAAGAAATATAATTTTATTTAAATTTAGGCTTCTACCTTGAACAATCACGACCAGATCGAGATGATTACGTCAGAGTCCTTTGGGAGAATATCGAACCAGGTTTGAAAAATTTTGTTTCATTAAAATTATTGTTTGAAAATAACAAAAATATTTTGATTTATTACCATCAAATAGGTTTTGAATATAACTTCTACAAAACTGATACCGGTTATGCGTATACTCTAAATACACCTTACGATTTTGGCTCAATAATGCATTACGGTAGCAATTATTTTAGTGTAAATGGTGCCGATACTCTGGAAGCACTTAATTCAAGTATCACATTTGGGCAACGTGACACTTTAAGCCCGTATGACATCCAAGCAATTCGAAATTTTTATGGTTGTTCGATATCTACAGATACAACAGCAGACATTACAGCAACCACAGACACCACTACAACATCTACTACCACTAAAAGACCTACTACTACAACCACCAGCACAAAGGGTACTACTATAACCATCACCAAAAAACGTAAACCATTGAACTATAGTAACAGCCACTAATCAATATAACCACTGCTAAGACTTGACCAGCAATGAGAACGGTCATATCAAATTGTTTTTCATATTGTTTGTTTTCTCTTTCTATTGTATAATTTTATTCGTTTTAAAATTTCTGACGTTCCTTCCAACGAAGTGGACGTCGTCAGATTATACAATGATGTATATTCATGAAAAATCTATGTACATAACATTATTTTCTGTTATATATGTTGCCTGTATTTTACTATTTATTGATAGTGGAAGAAATAAGACGGTGATACTGGACGAAGTTTTACTTTTTGAGTTTTTTCCTTCGTTCATTCTACTATCACCGTTCTATCTTCTATTATTTTTTTTTTCGTTCTCTATTTCTTTCATTTCCCGTTGTATTCTTTGTTCATGATGTCTTTGTATGTAGAAGTAATAAAAAAAAACTTCATAGATATCGTCTCTTCTTGTAATTGATTATTTTATGTTTGAATAAATGGTATCTTTGATTCATCTTTTCTTATTTATTTTGTTATCAATCACTATTGCTTTTCTTATGTTACACATATATTTTTAGTGGCTCTCATAATGACGATGTTGCACTATTTCTTATGTTGAATGGTTCTCGAGCATTTTAATTAATTCTATGAGTTCACACATATAGTTCATAAAATTTTAAACAATTCATTCATCACCGGAAAAGAACGTTCAAATGATTTTTTCGAATACATGATGTAGTTTCAGTCAAGGTATCTGATGAATTAGTCATTTTTGTTCTATATAAACGTTGTTCACTTCTTAGGTCATCATAATTCAATGAGTATTGTTATGACAGGTGTTTCAGTTTATTTTCATTCAATATTTCTTTAATTAGGAATACCTTTGCCATAATAAGAATCATATAGTTGACCAAGAATGTTTTTTTACAATTAAACTCAATATCTTAAATCAGTTCAACAACAAATTAAATAGTACGTTCCCTATCGTTTGTGTTGCTCGCTCAAAACTAATAAATCGTTCATTGAAATTAAATTGTTCATCTACATATCTTATTACTAGCGATACTTGTTCTAGTTTTGCTAAATCTGTTTTTACGTCCATCATCACAGAAAAGTGCTTAAGCTCGTTCAATTTATTCTACAATAAAATTACCATTATTTTTTTGATTCCTTACTTTCACAGTGATCACACACTAAAACATGTAGTAATTAGGTGGTCAATGAGGAAACGCCAATGTCTCCATAGATGAAAATCTAAAGATAGTAGGATAACTTCCAACCGATTTTTTGTCAAGCTGTACTCTAAAAAAACGGTTTTTCAACAAATCAGAAAAGAATCTTCCCCTGGAAACACGGGAAGATCCTTTTTCAGTTCCGCGGAAAAAAGGTTTCCTATCAACGGTGTCGCACCACACCTTTTTACCAAATCGAAAAGACTGTGGGTGTGAGTATGGACATGGGAAAAAATCACGCCCACACTCACACTTAATTC